GTAGCGCGAATTGCTCGCCGCGCGCCCTGGAGGCGAGCTCCTTCTTGACCAGCTCCTCCGCCTCCGCGATGGCCTTGGCCTCGGAGCGATCGGGCGCAACGAGACAGCAGGGGCTGGAGGGGGCGTCGAGGCAGGGGCGAACATGAAGAGAGCGCGGAGGAGGGCGTCGAGAAGGGCGTCGGTGAGATTCTGGCCTTGTCGGCCTCGTCGCCCGCGATGTACTTCAGGCTGACGTTGCTGCCAGGGGCGCCAATCCTGCCGCTGCGGAACTGCACCTGGGGGGCGGAGCAACGATGAACAGTCGCCCGGAAGGCGGCGGGCGCGCAAGCTGCGACCCCAGCGGAGCTGCTGGGAATCGCCGCACGCGCCCGACGCCTCTTCGGTGGGAGGTTCAACCCCGCTCGCCAAGTTGCGCGTGGTCTGCATCTCCCACCTCGGCTTCGCCCACTTGCGCTTCTTGTCCTTCTCAGCCGCGCCGTCCGTCTTCTTGCCCGCGGGGAGCGGCGTCTTCTTCTTAGCCGCGTTGCCCGCGGCAGGCGGCGTCGTCTTCTTTGCCGCGTTGTCCTTGCCAGGCGGCGTCGTCTTCTTAGCAGCATTGCTCGTGGCAGGCGTGGGGGCCTTCACCGCCTCGGCGTTCTTTTTCGTCTTGACCGCCATCGTCCTCTTATCCATGGCCGCGACCATGGCCAAAGCCGCCTCCGTCGGGGTCTTTCTCAGAGAGTCAGAGAGCCTGCGGCGATGCCGACCTTCTCAGCCTTGGGCGGCGGCGTCACGGCGACGACGTCGAAGTCGGAGTCGGAGTCGAGCTCGATCGGCAGCTCATGCTCCTTCTGCTTCTTCGGCGCGCGGGTCTTGCTGATCGAGGCCGTCTGGGCGGCGGCGGTGCTCAATAACGGCTGACAGTCGGCGGGTTTGCCGCCATCTTGTGCCGCCAGCTGCTGCGTCGAAGGCGCATCCGAACTCCCCGCCGCCATCGAAAGCTGGTGGTTCGAACCTGCTCGTTCTTGCAACGGCTCCTGCGGCTGCTGCGTCTGCGAGCGGTCGATCAGCTGGATGGCTGGGTTGGGCCAGCGGCCGCCGCTGCGCGAAAGCCCCACCTGAAATCAGGCGGGTCACCGCCGAACGAAAATATCCCCCCCCCCCCATCCCCCTCCAACCCGGCCCAGGCATTCAGAATTTCACACCACGCCCTCGATCCAGGCATCCAGAAACGCACCCCGCGCTGATCCAGGGACCCACCCCACGACCCAATACCAGGTGTCCCGCGGGGGAATGCGTTCTGTTATTCCCCGTGGAGCCGTCGGCCAGCGCCCAGAGAACGAGCCGGCCGCCGCGATGGGGAGGCGCTGCTGAGGAGAGCCGCCGCCGGGGCCGTGGGATGGCTGCAGCCCGCCGCGGGCGGGCGCAGGCGCGGGCAGCGCGAGGTGGCCGCTCTTCTTCCCTGCGTGGAGACCAATCAGCTTCGCAATCGCCACCATCTCGACGGGATTTATCTGCGGCGCCGTCGCTCCAACACCTGGTGGGAAGGCGTCGACGCACGTGATGGGGTACTAAGACTGGAGCCTCCCAGGCGTGATGGGGAGAGCCTGGACGCCATCCCTGGGCGGCGGCATCGTCGCCGCGAGATTCTTGAACGAGGATTTCACTGTGACCAGATATGACTGCAACAGCTCCCTCGTGATCTCGCCAGTCTCCACGCCTGTCTGCTTGCGCACCAGCAACAAGAATGCTGCCATATTGGCGGCCGTCGGGCAGCTCGGACGCCTCGAGCCAAGCGCCCCGAGGTGCTCTGAGAACGCCGCCATCTTGGCAGCGAAGCCCGAATGCGGCGAGAGCACGAAATCCCACAACTGAGGCGTCAGAAATTCAACGAACCCCTCAGAGTTCTGGAGCTTCCTCCCCTGCAGGCTGCCCGACGACAGAGCCTGCAAGAAGTCTCCCAACTCGGACTGCGCCCACCCCGCGCCGCCGCCCAAAGCAGCAAACTGCGCACTCTGGAGCTGCGACCAGCGCTGGGACGTCGCCGCCTGGATGCAGGCAGCAAGGTGCTCCGTCGCACTGCCGCGCGCTGCGAACGCCGCCCGCGCCTCCTCCAAACGGCCTCGAAGGATGCCCTCCATGGCAGCGATGCGGCGCTCCCGCGCGCCGAACGGAGCGCGCGACTCCCCGCGCGCGCGCCGCCCGGAGCCCTCGGAGGAGGGCTCGCCAAAAACGGCTCGAGCCAATACGCGCGCGACGGACATATCCTACCCCTGATCTTCCTGCTCCTCCTCCTCCTCCTCCCCCTCCTCCTCCTCCTCCTCCTCCTCCTCCTCCTCCTCCTCCTCCTCCTCCCCCCCCTCCTCCTCCTCCTCCTCCTCTTCCTCCTTTCCTTCCTCTTCCTCTCCCTCCTGAGGGGGGGCGCAGGAGAAGGCGGTTTGCCGCCAGAAGGGGTAGGCGGTTTGCCGCCAGAGGAGGAGAAGGCGGTTTGCCGCCAGAAGGGGTAGGCGGTTTGCCGCCACGGAGGGGGAGAAGGCGGATTGCCGCCATGGGGGGGAGAAGGCGGTTTACCGCCGACGGAGGACGAGGCGACGGAGGAGAAGGCGGTGCGCCGCCGAAGGAAAGGGGGGATAAGGGAGGGCCGGAGACACATGGGTAAACATTTCCTTCCTTCCCTCCCCCCTCCCCGCGGGCATGCGGGGCCGCCCGCAGCGCCGCGGCCGCGAGGTAGAGCAAGTGCCTGCGGCGCCTCTGTCCTGAACAACTGAAGTTTCTAGGAAAAAACACATCGGAAACCCAAGGGATTTCAAAAACAGTTCAAAATAACAGATACGCAAATGATTAACAAAAAAAACACGAATAGGTTCAGCCCCATTGACTTAGCAGAGATATCTAACTTAGTATATTACTTACATCTACACTTTCAAACACCATCAGTATCGCATATGCACACATGAGATGCGCGATCAACAAGTGTACGTTCTATGGCTTAACTAAGATTATGTAAGATGAGCGCTCTTACCGCACTCACAGCCACCCGACGATCAAAGTGGTATGGGGGGGGGGCGGGAGGTCCGGGGGTCGGGTCCGGGAAGGTGGGTTTTCCGCCAACCAAACCACCCCAACCCAACCCGAAGGCCCCGATTTGCTTTCTATTTCCAGATGGGGGGGTGTCGGGGAAAATTGGAAAAACAGGTGTGGAGCCCGTGCCCCCCACCAAGCTTAAATTCGGGTTTTCGAGTTCGGTTAGGGTGGCCTGGTATGCAGAAAGGAAGAGGGTGGCGTGGCCTGCATTTGATCGCTGTTCCGGGTCGGTTTTGGAGCTCGCCGAGGCGATCGTCGCGGCCTCCAGTCGGGGCATGCCAGCATGCCCCTTCCCATCCCCCCCTCCCGCTCCCGCTCTATGATGCAGACGCGTCTCTCAATTCATTGTTGAGGTGACAGAACATGGACAACCATGTGCTCTTGGTGAAGTGTTGGTTCTCACGCAACCGTCTGGACCTGAGAGGGGTAAAATTCACATGATTGCCTGCTGCAGGGGCCCGCGGAACGAACGACAAGGCAGACGCTTGGAAGGCCCTGAGATCCGACGCGGTCAAAGAGAGCTGCACCACCGCAAAACGCCTCGTCCGGAGCCACAGAGCCCATCTCCGTTGCGTGCCCCCGCTTTTGTATCAGTTTGTCGCTTCTGGCACCCAGCGGGGTGCGATTTATTCTCCCCGGCAAACATCCCGAGCCGCGTGCAACGTGTCTGGCAAATGTTTCATTCGTGTGCTCTGAGATCCCTGCCAGCTCCGCTGGTGGCGCAAGTGGCGAAGTGTCGGGACGCCCTTCGGGGGGACAGAATTGATGTGCTCCACGTCGGATCTCAAGGGAAAAAAAAAAGAGGGGGGTGACTAGGGGGGGGGGGATATCATGGCGTGGGCCATGATATTTCCCCAGATTTCAGGGCGCCTCTTCTTATTTCATTACGTCCCTGGCCCCCTCGCTGGGCCGCGCACGTGCCCCCGGTCATGATTTGCATCCCCCCCTCTTGGACACCCCCCTCTTGGCCGCTCCCGACATCTGGCCCCCACGCGCGCGACGCTCCACGCGCCAGCTCGATCCGCGAGGGCCCCCGGGCCCGAGGCAGGGCGCAGGCGCCTGGCGGCGCGAAGACATGGCGACGCCCGCAACTCTGGTGCGCCCCCGCGCCCCGAGGCTGCCCGGGTTGCACGCGGCTTGCTCCGGAACCCCCCGTGCCTTGACCTCCCCGCCTTTCGCTCATCCCTCTTCTGGGGTAGGGAGAGGGACCACCGAATTTCGGTGTCGCCAGATCGTCTTCTTCACATAAATCTACGGAAGCACGTGCACTTCTCGCGAATCTCCGAACGGTACGTGTATTTTCGTAGATTCGGAGAACATGTCTTAATTCTGGGATGAATCAATTCTGCAGGCGATCGCCTACTCGACCCTCCCCTCCCCCTCCATCCGGCTTCTCGCCCCCAGTCTCAAAGTCGCCCCCCCGGCCCCCCACAATTATTGGTTGTTTAAAGACGAGGGGAGTTTCGAGGAGGCGCCTCTGGGGGCCATGCTGACGCACCTCTTATAGAGGGATTAGTGTGTTTGGCCCGTCGAAAAGCGCACTAAATCGGGTATGGGTTGGGTGACGAGATCTGTCCAAATATGCCGCCCCTGGCGCCAGGCCCGTCCTGGGCACATGAGCGGTGTAGCATCCCTGGCCAGGCCATGGGGCGCATACTCGTATCATGTGTGCGTCGGCCTCCCAAGCGCGACGCGCGCGCTCAGAACTCTTACAGCATATGCTCCGTGATGGGCGCTTGCTGGCCATACCGCCTGGTACTGCAGGTTCGGTTGGGACGTGCGTTTTCAAGGGGGGCACACAGTATTAGCATCAGTACCTCCCATATTGACCGCTCCTGGGCCCAGGATTGGCCCGGCCTGGGGCGGTGGATGTGTACAGATCTCGCCGCTCTGAACTTGAGATCGTGAAACAAATCTTGTGGCCTCTCCTCCTGGAGGAGCTGCGAAAGACCGAGGCGAAGAGCAGGTGGCGCCCTGCCCTGCGAGCCGGCGTCCAGCCACTCCACCCCTCCTCTTCCTCCTCCTCCTCCTCCTTCTCCGCCTCCTCCCTCCCGCTCCTCCCTCGACCTCCTCACCGAGACGTGAATAATCACGCCTCCGTGTGCCAACGCGAATTTGTATCACTCCCACTCCGCCCGATGCCCGTGGCCATTTGGGCCCAGGCGTTCGGCCGATTTCGAACAAGGGTAAGGCGAAGAAGCTGACCTTGGGGCACGCCGCGCGGCGGCGGGTCAGCAAGGTGTTTCATGATTGCGATCTCCTCGGCCCGCGCGTTGTGTTGCAGGCCCAGGAGGTAGAGTTTGCGAAGGTGGCGAAGGCCGCGGACATCAGCGCAGAGGACGCGCGGCGGCCGCTGAAGGAATTCGTGGACCAGTCAGTGGCAACGGAGCCCGTGCAGAAACGTGTGGCGGCGCTCCATGGCTGCCTTGAACGAACAATGCCGGGTGACGCCACGGCGTGCTTCAAGATGACGGGTGGCCGAGGCGTGTCCGAGGCCCCACCGCCGACGGGAGCCCTTGCGATGGCTGCTCGAAGAGATTGGGGCCCCCTGCTCTTGAGACGGCACGGTCTTGCATGCACCTAAAGCGGGCGAAAGACGGCATCACGGGCCGCGCGCGCATCAACACGGTGAGGTCGCACGTGTGGGCCATGGAGACGATGTGCAGTTGGCTCCTTCGCGCGCGCGGGGTCCCGTGGCCCGTGACGATTGTGCATGTCATCGGCTACGTCTGCTGAGCCGTGTGCGCCGACGGTGCCCAACCAGTCCTTGCGCGCCATGGTGTGGGCGGAACGTGTGTCAGGTGTGGAGTGGGACGACGGACTCTCCATTCGACCAGAGCCACAGCAAGTCGTTGCGAACGTGAAGATACTCCTTTGTGTGGGCAGCGGCCCGGTCACGAGGGCGGCGCGATTCCCCAGCGCGCTCATCGGAGCCATGGAGCGGCTGGTCACGGACGGGCTCTTCACACCTGCGCGGGGTGGCGTGGTTTCGCCTCGTCAAGGTGTGTGCAGTGCTGCGCCACGACGACCGCAGCTGGCTCGCGCCGCAGCGCATCGCCTGGGACGTGCGAAGACCTCAGCGGAGCCGGGCGCAAGATGCCGGAGCTGCCGTTTGTGGTATCCCGCGAGTGCTACATGCTGGCTCCAACATGGATTCTGACAGCATTCCATCGTGGCAAGAGATCGCGGAATTCGAGAGAGACTTCCTCCTGCCGCGGTGCGACGACGCGGGGCAGGCTGTATTTCGCAAGCCCGGCGGGCACGCAGAAGCAGCGGCAGCGGGACAGAAGGTGTCTTGGGCGATGCCCAAGACAGAGGCGTGAACGCGCGAGGAAAACGAGCTCCTCATATGCGAGGAGGCCGTCATCTTCTGGACTTGGCGTTCGGGGCGGGCGGCGATCCTTTCGGCCATTGCGGCGATGGGGACTTCGAAGAGCGAGCGCGACTACCTGGGCAGGTTGCCGCTGGAGGTGCGGACGCTTACGCGAGGGCGAACCGCGCAATCGTGTCTAAGTTTGCTCCAGCAGTGGTTCACGGAAGTGTGGCGTTCTGGGAAAGCCCACGTGGAGCTGGGCGAGGCACTGGCCATTCCAGACCTGGCAAATTGGCTGGTTAAAAGAAGGAGCCTCTCAGTGCAGAGGGCGGCGAGCGTGGCTGCCAAGACCTACGCGGCCCTTGCAGACTTCGCTGGCGGGGTAGCGGTGGCGCCCCGAGTAAGCGAGGAGTGCCCGTCGGGAGCGGGGACCACAGAGGCCGCCGCTGAGGGCGGAAACGGAGGACGCCGCGCCACCAGCGGGGGCAGCAACGCCCCCGCAAAGAGTGCCGAAGCCAGCAGCTGGACGAACGTTCAGATCGGCGACGGAGAGCAATGCTCCCCCCCATCGAGGGCAAGGGCGCCGAGGAGGACGGCAGCCACCTCATCGCGCACACGAAGAAGCGCAAGGTGGCCAGGTGCCGCGAAGGTGGGGGCTGTGGCTGGGCGAGCGGCATGTCGCCAGCTAATTCGACTTAGCCCGACAGTAAACCAGACCCGTCGGCAAACGACCTGGTTTGCAAGATGCGTCAGCGCTTCATCTCGGCCTGAATGGCGAAGGCGGCCGACGAGAGCGAGGGCGACGGCCAGGGCAGTTTTTGCCACCTCTGGTGGTTCCGAGGAGACCCGCCGCCCAGGTAAAGGTAGCGGCAACGGCGGGCCCCGCGTCGCTCTCGGAACAGGGGCACCACGGCCCCCTCGATGGAGCAGCCCCGCGCGACCCCTCGGGTCGGGGGTCCTCGCTCAGGAGCGAGCTGGACCAGAGCCAAAAGCGAGCGCCGGCCGCGGCGCGGCCCGGGGGGCCCCGCCCGTGCAGTCAATGACCAGAAACAGGCCAGTCTCGGCAGAGGTGATGACCCTGCACGTGGGAAAGGCCACCGTCCTGAACTGATCTGTCCTCCCCCTGCGGCTGTGCTATCGCCCCTGTCCGCCCGATCCGACCATCCATCCTCCAAGTTTCCTCCTCCCTCTTCGTCCTTGTGTTCGTCTTCCCCGACATCGTCATCATCAGTCTCCGTTTCCCTCTCTCCCCTCCGCCCCCGTCCGGCCTTTCTAGCTCCCCAGCACAAGGCGTTTTCCGTGGGCGGGCAGGAAGGAGTGATAAGGTATGCGGTAAGAGGTTGGATGCAGGACATAATCAGGGGAATAGAGAGAGGGACAAACGGGAAAGAGAGAGAGAGAGAGATAGAGAGAGAGGCACACATTGCGATACATGTGTATATATACATACACACATACACATATACATATCTCTATATATATATGTGTATGTACAGAAGAGGAGAGAGAAAGAGAAAGAGACACAGAGAGAGAGAGAGAGACAGAGAGACAGAGAGAAAGCGAGAGAGAGAAAGCGAGAGAGAGAGAGAGAGAGAGAGCGAATGATTGATAGGTGGACTCTGACAGTGCTCGCGGCGAGGACGTAGGTAGGGCAGGTCCCTGGTTGATCGGCAGGAGAAGGGTTTTCTTCGCACCGTCTCCATCGTTCAGGTTGATGTTCCAGTTTGGCCCAACAAATTCTTTGATGGGCCCTAGGTCGCCAAATACAAGCAGCAATCATTTAGCGACGGTTCGCTCGTACTGGCTCGCGTACCATGCAATGGCCCGTGGCTCTCGCCGCTTCCGTGTATGAGCGTGCCCCCTGGTTGGGGCATTTTTTTCCCCGTGCAAGGTCCCAAGTAACTCCATACATAGTAAGGCATGCCGTTCGGGAGGGCGGACCCTAACGGGCGAGCCGGGCGGGCGGAACCTAATAGCTATGGGCGTGTGTTGCCGGCCGGGTGTGGCGTTAAAACAGGCGGGCGGGCTTCCACTCAAGCGAACGGGCAGATCCTAACAGGCGGGTCACGCTGGCGGACGAAGAGGAAGTCCCATGCGAGAGTGCAATTCTTGAGTGGAGCAAAAGCTATCCCTGAGTACATGTCCAGGAAGTCCAATGCCAGAGCGCCAGCGCTCAGCAACCTGTGAGGGTGTCTTAGGCTTAGGCCCGATTCCAGGATACGATGGTTGGACGTTTCGGGCAAGTCCGCGATCCTTAAGCGGCGAGAGCGCGATTATGTTATACATTGCCGGGAAGTCAACAGGATGCGATTGTCGACGGGTGCGTTTTCATTCGAAAGCAACGGGATCCAGACAGGGTCGGTCGAGAATCGACGTTCTGCACAGGTGTGAATTCATTTTGAATATCGTCGCTCGCTGCCCGTCGCGCTTGTCCTGGGCGTACCCCTTTGGTGTTTTGTTGGGGTCGTGGCAGCTCCTATCAAGGGAGGAAAGCCACCCAGACCAGACAGCCGGCGTTTCTGAAACGGCCCTGAGCGTCTACAAAACGCCCTGCCCCGATCGAGTTCTTCTTGGCGCGCGTGTACCAAACGACTTCGCGTGCCGGGGTGGTTAATCAGTTTTTTGTGTATTATCATTATTATTATTGTTATTACTATCTTATTATTATTATTATTATTACTATTATTAGTATTATTCTTAGGCTTACGCCACACCGCCGACCCCTTGGGGGGCTTTTCGGGGGCGGGCAGGCTGTATTCGGACTCTTTTTGGTCGTCTCGTAGACTCTTTCCGTGGCGTTTTTTGGGCTTTCTTCGCCAATGTGTCTTGGTTGTGTCTTGGGGTGGTTTTCGCCAATGTGTCTTGGTTGTGTCTTGGGATGGATAGGGGGACGTGGAGGTGCGAGGACGGGGGGAGGAGCAGACGGCGGAGAAGGTGGAAGGTGTGCTGGTGGAGGGAAGATGACACAGAGAGCTGAAGGGGAAGGAGGGAAGAGGGGGCGAAGAAGAGGATGAAAAAGAGCAGGAAAATACGACGCCGAAGACTAGGGCGGCGACGGACTGGCGCCGTCTTGCGAATCCTCTCGGGGGCCTGCGGGAGGGAGTTTGGATGTTTCTGGGGAGCTGTTTGGGAGCCTCTTGGGGCCTCTTTTGGACTTCTAGGGGGCCTCTTGGGCGCCTCTTGGGGCCTCTTGGGGGCCCCTTGGGGCCTCCTGGGCGCCTTTTGGGGCGGAAAGCTAGAATTTTAGGTTCGTGGTCCCCGTCTGGAGCCTTCCTTGGGGGCCTCTTGGGGCCCTCTTGAGCTGTCTTGAGGCCCTCTTGGGCCGTCTTGAGGCCCTCTTGGGCCGTCTTGGGGCTCACGTGGGGGCCTCTTGGGTCGTCCTGCGGCGTTCTTGGGGGACTCTTGCGCCGTCCTGGAGCGTCGGAGGCCGAGAAAAGCGAGAAGCCCAAAAACCTTTAAACAAGAAAAAACAAAAAAAATGAAAAGCAATAACTTTTGCCTTTTGGGGCCCTCTTGGGGGGCCTCTCGGAAGCCTCTTCGGGCGTCTTGGCGGCATCTTGGGCCTTTTGAAGGCAATCTGCACCGTCTTCGAACGATTTTTCGGCGACTCGGGGCCCTCTTGGACCGTCTTCGGAGCTTCTTGGGAGCCTCTTGGCTCGTTTTGGGCCCCCCAGCTGACTTTCTGGAACGTATGACCCCCCCTGCCCGCGCCGGGGAAGCCCGGACCGGCCGGCCGGGCCCCCCCCCCCCCCCCTCCAAATCGACCGGACCAGGCTCCCGGGGGAGGGGTTTGGGGAGGGGGAAGAATCTCACACGCCGATGATCCCCAAGGGGTCGGCGGATTATTATTATTATTATCGTTCTTATTATTCATATTATTAGTATTACTCGTATTATTAGTATTATTATATATTGCCTCTGTGAAGGGCTCCACCCACTCACGCGGACTGCGACTTCCAGGTGCGGCCGCACCACCCTGCTCTGCTGTTGCTGCCGCCGCCTCTCGGTCGGTCGTCGTGGTGGTGCGCTCTAGCTACGAGCGATAGATGTATAAATAAATAATAAAACAAACATGAAGGATCTCTATCTCAGGCAAGCGCCGACAGGCTACATCGGGCGAGCCCGGGGCACCCAGGCGTGCTGGGCGGACGGACCCCCAGCGCTGACGGGCGGGTCGGGCGGGCGGGCCCAGACGGGCGGCCTCCCGGGACACGGATTCTGCTGTCCCACCGGTTCTTCTTCCTCCTCCTCCTCCTCCTCCTCCTCCTCCTCCTCCTCCTCCTCCTCCTCCTCCTCCTCCTCCTCCCCTCTTCGGCGGGGCCCCTCGAGGCGCGTCCTGGATCCTCTGGCGAGCGAAGCGCGCGCGGAAGCCAGCAGTGCACAAGGGGAGGGCGGACGCCCGAACCCGCCGAGCGCGCGCCGCCAAGGCTCAAGAGATGCGGGTCAATGCAAGCGGGGGTCAGCCAGGGCACCGGATCCTGCAGGATCTTGAGAAGACCCCCTCTGACTGACCCGGGTTGGCGAGCCGCTCGTGGCCGCGAGGCGGCCGCGCACGTTGGCCGACCCCAGTTTGCGAAGTGCTGCGCTGCGGTTTTTCTCCTGCACTGCAAATTTGGTTTCCTGCTGACCCAGGTCTGGATGGACCCGGGTCAAAAGATCCCTGATTCCGACATGCTTCTGGCCTTGATCACCAAAGATAGTTTCGAACACCCAGAGTTTCGAGCGCCAAGGAGACAGTATCGGAACTGGGAGGGTCTTCGCGCGTCGGGCGCGGCGAGGTGAGAGTCGTGCGGCACGGTGTCGGTCCTTTTTTTTTGGTGTTCGGCACTATTTCTGGGATGTGGTCCTGTAAGTGCGCGGGTATCCAAGCGGGTGAACTAGCGGACCCTGACGGACCTGCCAGGCGAAGCTCAATGAGCGGGTCGTGCAGGCCAGGCACGCGCCGAGGAAGTCCAAGGCAGTCCTGCATTTCTTGAAGGGCACTGGCGCGACCCCCTCCGCGAACCTCGAGGAAGTCGGAGCCCGAGAGCGCAATTCGTTAGCACTTTATGCGATTTTGCGCATGCGAGGCCGCGATTCTGGAGCGAGCCGTTAGAACGTCTCGACTGAGATCACGATTTCTCAGCGTGACTGCGGCGCCTGTGAGCAGACTGCAAGGCGGCCCCGAGCGAGAGCGCGATTATGACATGCATAGTGTGCACGTCTCTGATGCGAGCGCGATTCTGACATGAATTGTGTGCACGTTTCTGGGGCGAGAGCTGGTGCTGCCGCAATCAGGCGACTGGGGGCCAGCGCCGCAGCCCAAACACAGTTTTCGAAGGGCAGGGAAGGACCACAGGCTAGGCACGGCCATGCCGAAAACCACTCTTCGGGCAATCCCGTGTATAAGATTCGGGCCGGGCGAAAATGGGGGATAGGGAAAATTGGGGTTACGAAATCAACTGCATGCGGCTGGTTTCGGCCCCGCCGCCGGGCCCATTCCTCGATACATGGGCGCCTCCCGGCGCCAGGGGGCGCCGGGAAAATCAGCTACGCGAGCTGATTCTCAACCCCGCCGTTTACTATCCCCCCTTTTCGCCCGGCCCGAAAGATGCTGCGCAGGATGGACGGAGAACACGAGGGCAGCATCAATCGACAGAGGGGGAAACAGTTCGATGGCGGTACCGCTGAGGAGTTCAGGGGGGTCAGGGGGAGGAACAGCAGCAGCAGAAGGCGGAAGGAGGTGGTGGAGAAGCAGAGGGAGGGAACGTGGAGTGGAGCAGGAGGGGGAGGGGGAAGAGGGCGAGCTGGAAGGAACGAGAGAGGAGGGGGACAGGAGAAACAGGACGGCCAAACGCGTGCGAAACGTTCTTTTCATTTTGTAGACGCTAGTGAATGTTCAGGTTCAGCGCGTCACCGCTATGACGTGATATATTGGGACAGCGAAGTGAGGAGGGTATTCATGAGCAGAACATAGGCGCGGAGGTGGGCGGCCGATTCCCGGCCAGAGGCAGCGCGAGACAGACGCGATGGACGTCGAGCATGGCGCGGGAAAGATGCAGGCCGTATTGCTCGCCCGTTCTCTACCTCATCCTTTTACTTCAGTATCGTCTAACCTATCCCCATCCTGACTGGCTCATGGTATGTCAGTGTGGTTGTCAGTTCTAAAATTTCTGCGCGGCCTCCGGTCCCCTTGGAGGCCCTGCAGTTGTTTCTCCCGTGCGCCGTTGCGTAGGCGGCAGGCGCGCCGCTGCGCGCCAACGGGGCCGTCGCGCCATCGGCGGGAGCAGGCTGGCGGGCGCGGGGCTCGGAGCTGTGACCACCTTGGAACGTATCTCCATCCCTATGAATGGCGCCACCCGATCTCGATGCCAATCTTAAGGATCCCCTCAGCTCCTGAGGGCACACCCCCGAGATGGTCATCGCCTTGGGCTTCCCGATCTCGGAGATGGGGACAGAGGTGAGCTCGAGGCCGACCGAGCCGGACTTGCCTCGTCTCGACCTGATGCCGCTCGCGTCTTGCGCGCTCGTTTTTGGCCCCCCCGCGGCCCCCCAAAAGCCGCGCACCAAAGGTCACTTTTACCCAGGGTCACTCTTGCGTGTAGCCGAGAGGAGGAATAAGGGCAAGTCCTGGAACGCACCAGTGCAAGTCTCCAGGCACACGGGTCTTCGAAAAATGGTTCCCCGTGTGCCTCGCGCCCGTCGTTTGGCAGCCGCGTCGCCCATGGGGCTGGATGCACCCGAACCCCTGGAGCGCGGCCTCAGGCTGCGCCCTAGAAGCGAGCCAACGTGCATTGGCCCTGAAAGAGGCAGTCCGCTTCGCGTCCTCCTCCCCAGTCGTATGCGCCCGCGTTGGATTATACACATGCAAACATGCACATGGCAATGTGGCGCGCACCCCGAGTACGGTAGGTTCGTGCGGCGTTGGCGCGCCAGCGACGCCGGCGAAAGCCCTCAAGGTTGAACTCTGCGACGCGGAAGCACCGAGGGGCACGGTAACGCCGCTGGACCCGACTGGATTCAACCTTGAACGATCGGGGCCGCGATCGGTTCAAGGTTGAACAATCGACGCGGCGTCATAAACCTTTGCGCGCGCCGACGCCGCGCGAACCTACCGTACCACCACAGGGCCGCGATGTTCCTCCAAGAGGGCCCGAGCAGGCCCCCGAAGGAGGGCGCCTCACGAGAGCTTCACAGGCTCGGGGGGGATTTTTCCCAGATCCATGGGACACCGTCGGCTCGCAGCCAGTCGCGAATGTTAGTGAGGGCGAGGCGATGTGGGCTTGCACCAGCAGTTTGAACGGCTAATTTTACAACACATAGCTTGCAGCAAACGGAGCCCAGCCCGAATCATTCAATATCAGGCAAGTTGTGAGGATTCCTCAAACGAAACGCGTCCACACCATGCCACACCTGGCAAATCGCAAGGCGTCTCAAGCGCAACCGCGCTCAAACCATTCCCAACCAGGCGCATCGTAAGGAAGCATCAAGCAACACCCCAACCAAACCGGGCCAATCCAGGGAGATGGTGAGGACGTAGTAGGCGAAACCGCGCCATTCACAATGCCAAAGCAAGTACATTACGAGGATGTCTGAAACGACACTGCGCCGAAACCAGGCTACACCAGGCAAATTGCGAGGACGTATCAAGCGACCCCGACCCCGCACCAGGCCAAGCCATGGCCAAAACCAGGCAAATTCTGATGATGTCTTAGGCAGGGCGCCCTGTCAAGCTAAGCCACACCATGCAAACCAGCCTACGGCGCTGTCGCTTTGGGTCACTTACTCTTGTAATGTCATGTTATCGGGTTCGGGGCGCTTCACTCATGGCATTACCATGGAGCTGGGCGCAACAGCATGCCTTTGTCTTTCGGTTGTTGTTCGGACTGCAGTGTGGCGGTGGGGAAAGTATTCCCCAGCCTGTAGAAGAGGCCCAGGACTGACAACATGGGGACCAACATGAGACCTCAATCTTCCCATCTGGTTTCGTCTCCCTTTTCTCCTCCACCCTCCCTACCTGCCTTCCCTGTCTCTTCCTTTGACGAAGGGCCCAACATCGGTTGCAAAGTCACAGGATTGGCCCCAGGCAGTCTTACGAAAGTGCCACCATGGCGGCCCTCCGCTCCTTCAGCTCCCTACTTGCTGTGCGCCGCCCTGCACTGCAGCCGCCGGCTCCTCCCCTCGGTGCGCCCGCGACGTCGCTCCGTGCTCGCTGCCAGGAGCTGTCCTGCGGCCCGGGCTCATGCTCTGCCATTAATTGTTGCATCCGTTTCCGCATTTTATTCAACCCGTCTTTGTCATCAGTTTGCAATCAGCAACGATCGCATTCAACCAGCAGCAGGCATCCACAACCAGCATGACTCAATTAACAAGTTCGAGGACCCGGGTGGCCTTTACTTGTTCATTGAGTCACATATTCGATTAGGTTTTCCAATTCTGATACGTGGGTGATCTCGTTGGCCAAACCGTTGCCCGTCAGCGGAATACTTGCGGAAGATGTCTCCGGGACGGGGTTGGGACGAGGATACATCCGTTCCAGAGCGTTCCGGAACGCTCCGTGAACGCTTTGAGGAGGCCGCGGCGCCTCAGACATCCTCCAAGCTGCCGCACCTCAGAGATCTTCGATTATTCGTCATCCGATCTTATCCTCGCCCTGGCTTCGTCTTAGGTCTTAGGTTCGCGCCGCGTCGACGAGGCGGTGACCCCAGCACGGGAGTTCAAAGCTGACCGGCGCCAGTGGCTTGGAATCGGCCGATATACAATGGCCTGCGCTATCGGAGAGCCGCGGTCGTTGAAGGTTCAACGATCCACGCGGTTTCAGAACCGAGCGCCGAATACCGTGGCATGCGCCTACCGTAAAGCGAAGGGAGAGGTCACGGCCCGGCCATGCATTTCGGTGTTCCACCGCTGGCCGCTCGTTGGTGTGGCCGTTTTTTGGCCACATGTTCGCCTAACCCTCTCCCCCGTTTTTCTCATCTCTTCATCTCAGGCCGTTTTTCCGGCTCATCCTCCTCATCTCCTTCCCTCCCCATTTTCGCCTCATCCTCCTCATCCTCATCTCCTCCCCCTCATCCTCCGCCTCATCCTCCTCATCGTTTCCTTCCTTCCCCGTTTTCTCCTCCTCCTCTTCCTCCTCCTCCTCCTCCTCCTCTCCTTCCCTCCCCATTTTCGCCTCATCCTCTTCTCTGCTTCCCTCCCCATTCTGTCATCCGAAAAGGGGGGCTTCCCGACGATTCAAGCAGACAAAATCCCAGACTACTTGTTTATGCAATGGCTCTCGATTCAGGCTGACACTCGTACAGAGAGTGAGCCGGTGAATAGATCCTGTCGCAACTCGGGCCATAGGAGCTGTGCGAAGGCACCGATCCCGGGACGGCCACCCCCTGGCCCCAGGATGGGTGTGCGTATGCCTCGCGGACCGGGCCAGGGGGGGAGGCGCATGCACCGACCGTGGGCTCGGGATGGCCTCAGCACAGCACGGCCGTAAGGCGTATGCACCGACCTTGCGTGCACCGACCGTGAGGCGTGGCGTGTGCGCCACCAGGCGTGCGGGGCGCATGCACCGATCGTGTGCTCGGGAGGGCCGCAGGCAGGATCGGCGCATGTGCACAGCCCTCCTCCGTCCAGCAGCCTCCTCCGCCCTCCTGGGAGGGCCCACCCCTGTGGCCCCGGGACGGGTGTGCATGTGCCTCCCTTGGCCGGGCCAGGAGGCGGAGGCGCATGCGCCGATCGTGGGCTCGGGAGGGCCGCAGACAGGATCGGCGCGTGTGCACAGCGCACTTCTCCTTGCAGCAGCGTGCTCCCCCCGTCTGGCATCCGAGGGCGTGAGTCTTCCACGGCGTGGCTTCTCCCAGAGGCCTGGGCCCCCTTCCAGGGACGGGCTGTCTCTTTGTGGGCCCCGGAAACGGCAGGGCCGTTTTTTCACCGTTTCCAGAAGCATGTCCCTTAAGACTGGAAACGGCAAAAAACGGCGACCGGGAACGGCAAAAAAACGGCTCCAGGATTGGAACCGGAGCTGGACCTGGTCAAACAACGGCGACGGAACCGGTAAAACAACGGCGTCGGAACCAGCAACAAAAACGGCAAATCGGAATCGGTAAAAAACGGCCCTGTCGTTTCCAGGGCCCACTAAGGGGCCCCCGAACCGCTTGCTGCCGGCCCTGGGTCCCGGTGAGGGCCCCCGGAGGCCGACGACGGCCAAGCACCGTCCGCCGTGCGGATCGGCCAGGGCTGCCCCACCTTGCCAGCCCGGGCCGAGCGGCCCCCGCCTCTTCGGAGGCAGGGCTCGGAGTCGGCTCGGGTATATCCGCGCTCGAAAGCAAACCTGATCCGGCACCATCCCGCTTAGTTCGACTAGACGTAAGAGTGACCTTTCGCCGGAGTGACCTTTGGTGCGGGCACAGGTGGGTCTCCAGGTGGCTGAAAACGAAGCAGGAGCAGCGGCTTGCGCGTCCAGGTTTGGTCCCCCACGGCCCCCCAAAAGCCGCGCTCCAAAGGTCACTCTTACCCAGGGTCACTCTTGCGTGTAGCCGATTAGTCCAGCTCGCCCCCGCGTAATCTGGCGACAGCCCCATTGCGGGACGGGAAAATGACCACAGCGTTTGCTTCTTGTTTGCGCCGCCTTCCAGCCGGCCGAAAAAGAAGCAGTGGTTGTGGTCAGTTCCCTGGTGCCAAGCTCAACGAAACTAACCACAACCACTGCTTCGTGTCTGCGGGCTGGAAGGCGGCAACAAAAGAAAAGCAGTGGCTGTGGTCGTTTTCACGCCCCGTGCCCACTCAATCGGGCCCTGTAGCCCCTGATCGTTCCGACGAAGGCCTCCGCGGAGCCAGGAGCTGGCTCCTGCCGTCCGCTTGCGACGGCAGCGACAGGAGCGACACTCGCAAAGTGCCTACTCGCAAGCGTCCGAAAACATTTGCTTGCTTCGATATACTTGTCGCAGCTCCTTCGCGGCAGATCCAGGCCATTTGCTAGCAGTTACTTTGCGAGTCGTGGGACGCGCTTGTCTCCTGGCGGCCCAGGCCCAGCTCGACATCCCCGAGGCGGCGCGCCTGCAGAGGGAAGCGCGCGAGGAGGCGGAGCGCGAGCTGCGCCAGGCGGAGGAGCGGCGCGTGGCGGAGGAGCGGGGGCGCCGCGCAGAGGGGCTGCTCCCTCTGCTCGGCGGCGGGCGCAGGGGAGGGTGCTGAGGTGGCCAAGAGTGGCGCGCACGGGGGGGCTGGCTCAGGTGGCCAGGTGTGGGGGCTCCCGTTCGACACGGGTGAGTTTCCAGATTGCGGCTTCATGTGGCGTCGTGGGGTCTGATGGCTGCTCCAGTGTGACTGGGCGGGATCTCGTGGGGTAGGTAGCAGGCGGGATGTCGTGGGGGGGGCACCCAATCTCATTGACTCGGCGCTCGCTCGACTGCGTGAAGGCACCATGCTCGGCCACCCGAGGTGGGCGTGCCTCATCCACGGAGGCGTGGGGTGGCCTCTCGGAGAGCAGGGGGCAGGGGCCAGGCCTGGGAGGCTTCCGAGAGGGCCGCTGAGAAGCCCCCCCCCCCCCCCCCCCCCCCCCGCTTGGGAGGCCGCCCCCCCCCCTCTCGCGCCGCCCCGCCCCCCCCCGCGCGAGCCGCCGGGCCGCTGCCCACGCCGTGCGCTCGGGAGCACGCGCCCGGAGGCGCGTGGCGCGCGGCGGGCCGCCTGCCCTGGCCTGGCGGTGGGCCCCCTCCTGCAGATCGGGAGGGAGAAAAGCACACACAGACACAAGCGTTCAATCATCCACCCCAGGAAAAAATATGGGGAAGAATATGGGAGGTGGGGGGGACGACGAGAACCCAGAAGATATTGGAAAATATCGCGGATCCTCGGATATGTGTCTCTACCATAGCACCCCGCAAATGCGGATAGGAGTGAGGGGGCGGTGGGGACGTCGGCAGTTTGCGAGACTTTGCAGAAGCCCGCCGCAGGCACCAACGTTCCACAAATTGTACAACGAGCCCGCCGCAGGCGCCGATCTTTGCGTTAAACCAATGTGGGTAGGCCGCGGGTTGGTCGCAAATGGGTCGCGGGTGGGTCGCGGGGTGGGTCGCGGGGTGGGTCGCGGGGTGGGTCACGGGTGGGTCGACGACAACAAACAACAACAACAACAACAACAGCAACAACAGCAACGACAACAACAATAACAACAACAACGACAACAACAACAACAACAACAGCAAGAACAGCAACGACAACAACAATAACAACAACAACGACAACGACGACGACGACAACAAAAACAACAGCGACAACGCAGCAAGCAGAACCCTCACCGCGGATTCCCTCGTCAGCCACGCACCCAGGGACAATGAACGACCGTTCGGCCCCCTCCGCTCTGATCCGCGTGTCCCGGGGCCCCTTCGGAGGAGAGCGGGCCTCCACGCCGCCCCTGGGCACGGCAGGGCGGGGGGGGGGGGGACCGGAGGGGGGAGAGGCGACGCCAGCGCCACCAGTCAGGGGCAACGATAGGGGGGGATAGGTATAGGGGGGGATGCGTCGCCCCCCAATCGCCCATTGATCGCCGATAGGGGCCCGATTGCCCCGACCTGCCCAGGAAGGTGCGGATTCACGATCTGAGGCCTATCGCCGATCTGTCGATGATGTATCGCCGATTCCAGGTCGATGCATTCCCCCCTGTGCCAATCCCCCCCTGTCGCTGCCCCTCAACCAGGGGGGCCACCTCCAGCGGGGAGGTCCACGATGCCTCCCCGAGCTGGAGGCTGGGGGTGTCTCGAGCGAGAGGGGGGACCACACCACTGGAGACCCCCCCCCCCTGCTCCTCGCAGCTCCTCGTCCTGATGGAGGTGTCGCCTTCCCTTGTTCCTAGGGGAGCGGCCCTGCCCGATGTGAGGGGGGCGGGATCTAGCTGTGTTTGGCTGACCTGATCAACTCCACAGCAGGAATGACCTTTGCAGACGACGGGAAACAGGCGCTCGCCAGCCCCCAGTCTTATCCTGTGCGACGTCGGGCGGTTTCCAAGAAGTCTAGAGTCTAGCCCTGCGCGCAAAGCCCGCCTGCAGCTGATCACATGCGAGAGGCGACTCAAAACGGGGTCGTCTTGACTGGCATAGGCGTGTAAGCTGACCGCGTAAACTCGCGCGTTCGTGCCCTCGTTCCCGGTGTAACGTGCCGCGCTGGCGGCTGGCGGCCCACTTCAGCCGCCGCGTGAGGTCGCTACGCCATCTCGCGTGAGACCCGCTTTTGATCGTCGCTCCTGTGCCTCAGGCGACGCGCACCCTCCTGCGGATGCAACTCCTGAGAGGTCAAATTCTGACTTTGCCTTGGTCCGAAATCCAGTTTAATCCCGCTGCATCCCGCCTAATGTGGCTTCGTCCCGCTTATTCGGGCGCAATCCCGCTGAATCCGAGGCCCAATCCGGCGCGACAGCCCTCCAATGGGGCTTACTCCTCGCCAGTCCTTCCGACGAAGATCTCCCAGTAGTTGCCTCCTCACCCTCCTCCTCCCTGGCTCCCTCGTTGGGGGGAGGGGGGTGCGCGGCGGGGCCGCGAGGAGGAGCGGCTCCGCGCGGTGCAGCCGCAGGAGCGCCTCGCGGTCCGCGCGGCGGAGGCGCGGCTCGGCGGGGGGCGGGGGCAGCTCCACGAGGGGGAGCTGCGCCGCGGCGCTCGGCCAGCGCCCATCGACGACGACGACGACGACGACGACGACGACGACGACGACGACGACGACGACCTCGACGACGACGACGGCGACGACGACGACGACGACGACGACGACGACATTGGCGAACGAACGATCACCGCCGCCGCCGCCGCCGCCGACGACGACGACGACGACGACGAGGACGAGGCCAGCCGCCCGCCTCCCAGTCGGCACCAAGACCTCTCCTGGTGTACGTGGTGGCTAGAGTTCAGAGGCGTATATCCAGCCGAAAAAGCTACGAGATCTTCCCGCGGAGGCCAGAGCAGTGCCGGGAGGCTCCAGCAGCTCACACGATCGACGAGGCCGACGGTGGCTGCGGCGACGACGACGAGAAGGAGTCCGCAGCCGCCGCCACCGACGATGTGCGGCTGCCGACGGCGGGGGCCGCGTTCTCGTCGTCTCGGGGGTGCGAAACGACGGATAGGCGAGGACCTCCAGGCCGGGTTTACGCCGGCCAGGGCCTTCTCGCACTGGGGCCCCGCGGCGCAGGGCTGCCGACCATCGTCGTCGGCGTCGACGCCGCCGACGGCGCCGATGCCGTCGACGACGACGACGACGACCCCCACGAGCGTTGCGCGGCGGAGGCGGCGGAGGAGAAGCGCCAGGCCGACGAGGAGATCCGGCGCGAGGAGCAGCGCGTCCTGGCGCAGGAGGCCTCGGGCTCCCCTCCTCTGGCGGGTGCCACGCTCCGGGGCGGCGTCGGTGGCGGCGGCGGCGGCGGCGGCAGCGCGCTCTCTGGCCTCCGCCCGACGAGAGTGTCAACATGGTGGCCCTGGTGCGCGCTCTGACAGCTGGCACCCGACGCGCCCGAAGCGAGACTCCTTGAGGGGCGCCCACAGCAGAAACGCGCGCTGGATCGGTCGGCTCGGTGCGCGCGGTCTCGCGCCGCGGTGCCGCTCCCGACGGTAGACAGCGACGCTCTGTTTTTTGTTGTGGGGAGCAGTTCATGTAGTAGTTGTCGGCTCTCATCGCCACGGCTGGACGTTTTCGTCATCTGAATAGTCTTTGCATGTGCCATTTGGATAACGGACCCACTATAGATCTCTTCTTGCTGGTGAGAGAAAAGGCGACCCACTATACATCACCGTGGGTAGGCGACCAAGGTCGATGAGGAGCACCATAGCGGTAATTCCAGACTTGCTTGTGTTGCTCGCCGGAGCAGATACGTACGCAAACAGCACCCTCACCCCAAATGGTGAGACTTACTCTTGCATTGCGGCAGCGGGCGAATATGTTGCTTGGGTGCTGACCTCCAAGGAGCTCTTTGACTAAGCGATTTGAAGCATACATCGTGCTACAAACATGGTCGACCAGGGGGACCATCTTGGAACCTTCGCTGACCAGGCGTGCCAGGCGACAGGTTGCATCATGCCTCCAGTATGGCAAGCGAAGCTTCGTATCACAAATGCCGCGAATTAGTTTGAGGAGAGTGTATAGACATACTATGGTGGCTGCCGGGTGAACACTTGTATGAAAGCCCATCTAAACAAAGACAACACGTCCAGCAATCATTGTCTTACACGCTTGTCCCCATCCATGTATGGTTGCGTATTTTTGTATGCGCAACCCGTGCATGAGGACCATTTGCAGAGTTGCGTTGTTGCATGTTGCAGGTGTTCGGAATTACGGTTGGTTTCAAGCGCGCCATCCTTCCTCCGCGCTGCCGCGTGCGGTGGGGCAATCATTTATTTTGTCGGTGCCTTATTGTCCCGCGGGACCAGTTACTTTTGCAAGAACGATTGGGCAGTAGACAGTCTCACGTTTCCAGTTATTCACAACTCTTTGAAGCGCCCCCAGTTTGAAAACGCGCCGCTCCCCGTCTGGGGAGAGGGACAAGGACAGGGAGGAACGAGGGGGGAAACAAGAGGACGAGGAGGTGGAACGAGTAGGAGGAGGACAAGGACGAGGGGGTGGTCGTGGACTGTTTTTTACGCGTTAATGGGACTTCGAGGAGGTAGGTGACACGGGAAACGTGAAGGTGGCCAATCCATGTCAAGGTTCTTTGGTTTGACCTCGGTGCCCGTCCCCGTGAGTGTTCGTTTTGCTTGTTCTTCATCGCCCTCCACCTCATCCCTTCATGGGGACGGGCACCGAGATCAAGCCCAGGCACTTGGATATCTGTTGACCACCGCCACTTCCCCTATGCCATGCACCTCCTTGACATCCTTCTAACGCATAAGAAACAGTCCCCGATAACCCCTCGTCCTTGTCCTCCCTCTACTCCTCCTCTTCGTTCCGCCCCTCATCCTTCTCTTCGTCTTCCTCCTCATCTTCCTTCCCATCCCATCTTCCTTGATTGTTATCACCTTCCTCATATTATGTTTCTTCCTCTTATTCCTCCTCGAGGCCCAGTGCGACACGGGCGCCCTGGGCGTCCAAGGGTTTCGGGGGGGTTCAGGGGAGGGCCCTCGAAGGTGCCCGGAAGGTCCGTGGAGCAAAAGCTCGTTGGCGACGCTCAACGGAGGGGGGCGGAAGGCCCCCATCCAGGGCCTTCTCCTCATCCTCCTCCTCCTTCCTCCTCCCCTCCTTGACGCGACGCAGGAATAAAAACGCGTCGCTCAGAAAATCTTGCCTAAGGAAACCCCAGACGATGGATGGCTTTGACTTAGTCTTGTGGATATAGAGATCGCTCGTGAGAGCGATCGTGGGATCGATAGTCAGGACGACAGTAAGGTTGATCGTGAGACCGATCGTGAAGTCGATTCAGTGAGATCGACAGAGAAATCGATCGTGAGATCGCTCGTGCGATCTAGAGCGAGATCGATTGTGAGATCGACTGTGAGATCGAGATTCTGAGATCGATGGTGAGACCGATCGATCAGGAGATCGACCCGGAATCCGGGAACCTGGAAACCCAAGAACCCCGCCGCCCACAGAAGTCGGCCCAGAGCCAGCGACCTGAACCCGGGAACTCGGAATTTGGAACCCGGGAGCACGGTTGCCCACTAGAATCGGTTGGATTTGTTTTCCAAATTTTCGAATTACGCCAGAGGACAACCCCAATCAGTGGATGGTTTGAAAATTCGTGTGATGGTTATTGAGATCGACTGTGAAATTGATAGTGAGATCGACAGTGGGATCGATAGTGAGGGCGAAAGTAAGGTCGATTCAGTGAGGCCGATAGTGAAGTCAATTCAGCGAGATCGACAGTGAGATCGATCGTGACATCGCTCGTGCGATCTGGAATGAGATCGATTGTGCGATCGATTGTGAGATCGATAGAGGTGTGGATAGCGAGATCGACGGTGAGACCGACCGATAAGGACATCGACCATGAACCCGGGGACCCGGAAACCCGGGAACCCCGCCGCCCACCGAAATCGGCCCGCAGCCAGCAACCGGGAACCCGGGAACCCGTTCCCAACCGGGAACCTTGGAACCCGGCCGCCCACCGAAATCGGCCGCCCATTTTCGTCAAATCCTTCAAGGTCCGCTGGGACCCCTTCATTGCAAGCACTGATTGGGAAACATCCGCGAAGACCCCTTCAATGCAAGCACTGATTTGGGATACCAGATTCCGTGTGTTTGATTGGTAATATTTATGGTTTGGCGACGTTTTGGTCAACGGCCAGGGAGATACCCAGAAGGACGAACGTCCTGGAAATTATTGACGCTTCACGCAGCCCATCCAGAAACGATGCCCAGGGGAGTTGAGGTAATCAGGGAAGTGGGGGAGCATGCAGAGGAACAACGGGCTGGGGATGCTGTCCGATCCTCTAAGAGGGGGGGGGGATGGTGGAGGAGAAGGAGGAGGAGACGGAGGAGGAGGGCGAACGGCAGGAAGGAGGAAGACGCAGTGGACAAGGAGTAGGAGTAGGAGGAGTAGGAGGAGTAGGAGGAGTAGGAGGAGGAGGAGGGGGAGGAGGAGGAGGAGGAGGGGGAGGAGGAGGAGGAGGACGAGGAGGAGGAGGAGGAGGAGGAGGAGGAGGAGGAGGAGGAGGAGGAGGAGAGGAGGGGCATCTTGACGAGCCCAGGGCCGTCTTTGAGCGTCTTGGGTGCCTCGGACATCCTCTTGAGGCGTCTTGGGGGTCTCTTGTGAGCTTCTTGGAGGCTTCCTGGACGCCTCTTGGGGCCGTCTCGGCGCCTCTTGGGGCCATCTTGGGGCGCTCTTGGGAGCCTCAGGAGCGCTCTTGGGGCCATCTTGGAGGAGATCGATCAAAGAAGAGGGGTTCCCTAATTCGCGCCCCCCCCCCCCCCCCCCCCCCTGGGAGCCCCAAACGACGCTTCTTGTGGCGCTCTTGAAGCGCTCTTTGGCGCACTTGGGGCCGTCTTGGGCTCTCTTGTGTCTCTCGTGGGGCCCTCTTGGGCCATCTTGGAGCGATCTTGAGCCCTCGGATGGCCATCGGAAGCGAAAAAGGCGAGACAGCAAAACATATTGAGGTTTCCCAGGTTTGAAGAATTTTGGTTTCTTGAAGGGCCTCCTCGGAGGTTCGGAGGCCTCTTTGGAGCCGTCTTGGAGCGTTCGTGAGGCCTCTTGGAGCATCTTGAGAGCCGCTTGAGGCATCTTGGGCTATCTTGAGCCATCTTGGAGGTTCTCTTGGGCTCTCTGAGGCGCTCTTGGAGCCATCTTGAGCGAAAACGTGCCCTCTGACACCTCGCGGGGCGCCCCGTCCAGGTCCAGGGGAGGGGGTATGGGAACAGGGGTGAACCCCTCCCCGAAGTGGAAGAAAGGGGGTTGGAAGAGGAACCTCCCGAGACCACCTGCGCCCAGAGGGCTGGTGGGATTTCGGTCCCCTGAAAGGCCCCAGACGCACGCCAGAAAACCTGGGGTGCCTCAGGTGCCCTCGGGCGTCGTGGAGGGCCAGCTGGTCAAGCGGCTCTCCGCCGAACTGCCTGGCCCCTCGACTTTCCTCTCTCCCTCCTGCTTCCACTCTCTCCTCCTCATCCCGCTCCTCCTGCTCCTCTTCCCGCCTCTCCTGCTCCTGATCCTCTTCCTCGCGCTCCTGCTCCTGCCCCCGCTCCTCCTCCTCCTCCTCCTCCTCCTCCTCCTCCTCCTCCTCCTGTTCTTCTTGCTCATCATCATCATCAGCATCAGCATCATCATCATCATCATCATCATCATCATCATCATCATCATCATCATCATCATCATCATCATCATCATCATCATCATCATCATTATCATCATCAGCACCATCATCATCATCATCAGCAGCATCAGCATCAGCATCAGCATCAGTATCAGTATCAGTATCAATATCAGCATCAGCATCAGCATCAGCATCAGCAGCATCAGCATCATCAGCATCATCATCATCATCATCAGCAGCAGCAGCATCATCACCAACAACATCAGGAGCATCAGCATCAGCAGCAGCAGCAGCATCATCATAGTTTTTGGCTCCAGAGTTTTGGGACTTTCTCGTGCTGAGGCTATGCGTACGGCGGCCGCTGCCAATGTGCGCGCACGGGAGGCGGCCCGCGTCGGCAGGGCCGCCGAGAGCTCCCCAGACAGGAGACGGCGCCGCCAGCGCGGGCGTATCGCGGCCCGGAGGGCCGGGGAGGCGCTGCTGCAGCAGGCGCTCGCCGAGGTCCGTTTCTGGCGGGGGCGCTGCGAGGTGCAGGGCGCCGAGGTTCTGCACGAAGGAGACGGGCACGGCCAAAAACGGGTACAGTGCCCAACAACAGCTCCTGTTCGTTTTGAACAGGACTCGCTGTCCGCCAAAGAGCGTCATGCGCGCGCGGGCCACCAGGGCGGTGCAGCCCTCCGGCGCCGCCCTGGGGGTGCTGACCGCGGCCGCCGCGATCGCGACCGCCGCCACCCGCGCCGAGGCCGAGCAGGGCGACGAACGGTTCGAGGAGCTGGTCGAGCACGCGTTTGGCGTGCGGTACGTGGACGAGTAGCTCGAGGGCTCCGCGACCGAGGGTGGCGAGGCGGACAACGCGCTCACGCAGAAGGAGAGCGAGTGCGAGGGCCCCGCGATCGAGGGCGTGCACACGGACGGTGGCCGCGCACCAGGTGGAGATCGGCTCCGACATCGAGGGCGGGAGCGTCGGCGAGGAGAAGGAGGTCGTGCAGTCGATCGAGGTCGTGCGCGCGGGCGCGGCCGCGCACCAGGCGGAGATCGGCCCCGACATCGGGGGCGAGAGCGACGGCGAGGTGAAGGAGGTCGCGCTGGAGTTCCACGCGAGCTCCGTGCAGGAGGAGGTGCCTTTCGAGGGGCAGGGCGTGCCCAAGCGGTTCGTGGTGACCGAGGCCTTGGCGCGGCCGCCGTGCATCAGCCGCCTCCTCGCTGACTCGCGGCTCTTGGTGCCGTTGCGGCAGGGCATCCTGGCGGCCGCCTGTGCGGCTCGGAGCGGGCGCCGTTCGTGCTGGAAGCGGCGGCCCTCGCGGGACAGGCTGTCCCTGGCGCCGCTGTGGCAGGGCCTGCTCTCGGTCGCCGCTGCGGCACGGCGGGCAGCGCGCAGGCAAATGCGCAGCCGTAGCACGCGTGTGGCTAGCAAGAGTGGCGGCACTGCTGAAGCGCGGGGCTCGGGAGGTGGGGGCAGCGCCACGTCCAGTGCCGAGCTCGCCGTCGATGCGGCTGAGGAGCCCGACGAATCTCCATTGGGGCACGCGGTGCCCGCTCGGCCACCGCCTCAAAAGGAGGGGCGGCCGAGCGGCACCGTGCGCCGCGCGATGGTAGCTCCGCCTCGGATCTCTTGGGCGGCTGGGCGCGGCCCGCAAAGCTCGCCCGACGGCCCCGCGGAGGCCGTCGGCGGTCCGTCTCCTGGTCTTGGGACGCTCGTGACCGCCGAGCCCGCGAGGGCTCGAGCAGAGGTGCGGATGGTTCGCGATGCTCTTGTTGGCCTCAGACGGCAGGGGTCATAGCGGCAGTTTGCCCGTCTGGCTGGCGGCCCTGCGCGGCCGCCAGCGTCTTGGGGCGGTCGGGGTTCCTTCGTCGCCCGCCCTGTCTTGGGGGCCCGGGGGCTCCGTGGGTGTGCACGCCAAATGCAAGATGGCTGTGCCGAGCCTCGCTCCCAGACCATCATCATCATCATCATCATCATCATCATCATCATCATCATCATCATCATAATCATCATCATCATCATCATCATCATCACCATCATCAGCAGCAGCAGCAGCATCATCAGCATCATCATCATCATCCTCTTCCGCCCGCTGTCTCGAGCGACGGTCGCGCTGACCCGCGTATCCCCGCGCCTCTCTTTCCGCATTTTGTTCGATGCGCGCGTTCCTCTCCATTCATGTCCTCTGTATCCCTCTCCCTCTCCCTGCGCCCACTGGTAGGGGGAACGAACACGGTGGCTGTCGGTTACGTCCTTCCTTCATCTCCGACGCCCGAGTGTAGAACACAACCGCCGTGGGCGTCGAGTTCGGCGCGCCCTTCAAGGGCGCCGGGCGCAAAATTTGCGCGTGTACTTTTCCTCGCGTTCAGAGTGCGTGTGTTTCGGTGTCTTGTTTTCGCAACGGTTCACCTCGGGTTCGACGTCATTCGTCCAGCGCTTTGCGGATTTTCGGAGGTCCGTTTGTGCGGCGGAACCTTTTCTGAACACCAGATCCTTTAGCCTGTATTTTGTTGACTGTCTGGCGGGCTCCTTTACAAATGTCGAATTGTCAGCTGCCAGTACAGAATGCCGAACTGCATGGGGTATCAACAACAAAGGGCACCTAAACCAGGATGTCAGCACGTTTCGCGAGGCGGCGCGCTCGTGCCACCAGAGGTCATACAACGCATTTGTGTTGTCCACGCTGGGGCTGAGTCGGAACATGTAGGCATGGACAACTTACCATACGTTGTCATATCCTAGGGGTGCCCAGAAGTGTGTAAGGTTATCGCAAAGACGACAATCGTTGCACACATTTACTATGGCACGACGTCGTGCCTAGACGCATGCACGCTACAAAGTTAATGCTGAAATCACATATAATGCCCCATTGCACACGCTCAAGTGGTTGACCCTCACTTAGTGTTGCGGGTGGTCCCACATTTGCTGTAGAGCAGGCCCTCGAACAGGTTCATGCCAGCTATTTGCGGCAAAAGTAGCTTGGTCAGACAGCCAAGACTTGGAGGGGCAGGGACGTGTGTAACGCAACTCACACAATCCTGAATGGAACATGCCATACAATACATTCCAGACGTCGCAGATCGCAACCGCTCGATGCGACCAGGGGGGCGTTCCATGCATGTGAGGGCCAACGGGGGAAGCAAATCAGGACCCGCGCAACTAAGACCGATATGGCGCAGCAGCTGGAATGACGGGACACGGGATAGGATGACACCAACAACGCCCAGGAATTGCATGGCTTTTGCTGTATGGATTTGTGTCCAGAGGTGCTGAAACCACGGGAGCACCTGGTGACGCTACTGGCCCAGTCTAGGAGAGATAGAGAGAGAGAAAGGGATGCCAAGATGTCCAGAGTCAGCATGCGAGAGCACTGCACCAGGCAGTCCACAACCGATGGCCAGACATCAGCACCCACCTCGCACAGACACTGGTCTACGGCAAGAGCAGTGCTCCACTTACACTTGATTTGCGGCGGGCGTCTACTAACGCAGGGTGGCGCCCGCACATCTCAATCCCCGTCGGAGCGAACATCACCTAGCACCGCTTATCCAGTTGCAGGGCCAGTTGCGCTGAATGACTAATATCTCTTGCAAGGGCTCCATTGACGGAGGGTGGCGCAGGACTGATGCTTTTGTTCACGTCCTGCATTCGGTCGTCTGGCTTAACAAGGCAATTGGCCATGCCGTCTTGATGCTATTCCGCGATTTGAAGCATATCATGTTTACATCGAGGTGGTGCGAGACATTGTGTTGAACACTGTACTGGGATATGCATACTTACCGCGCGCGCTGGAGTCTGGCGGCATGCCTGAATCAATGAAATGGCTCATCGAATTAGCCATGCATCTTGCAGCAGCTACACATCAACATGCCTCACAACGCTTGGTCTGAATGATGGCGGGCGAGCGGACCCACCTGTTTTATTGCTGAGGAGCTACCGCAGGATGTGTTTGGTGGAATCAGGGCCCATCTTCTTCGCGCGCAGACATGACGAAGGGTGGATTTGTAGAACGCGCGGCGATGATCTTCACTCGAGGCGCATGCCCACGCCGCAACAGCCACCCGATCGAGTGCAATACTGGGTGCGGAAGTCCGCGCTGCAAGCACGGCGCTTCGGCGAGGGGGATGCTGCGAGGCCACCGCGCGGGCCTCGGCCCGGCGCAGCCCCGACGTGGCCCTATCACGGGGACGAGGACCACACCGCGAGAATGATGCTGTTCGCCATCGCCTGCCCACCCCTGCTCTGCCCTCCCCCCCCCCGCAAGGCAACCGCCGTGACGGCGAGGCGATCCCCCTTCCCTCGCCTCGCCCACCCCCTCCTGCCCCGTGAGGGGGATGGCGACGCTGTGGATGACGGGGAGGACTGTCGAGGTGACGACAATGAGGAGGAGGAGGAGGAGGAGGAGGAGGAGGAGGAGGAGGAGGAGGAGGAGGAGTTGCCCGCCTCCTTCGCCTCCCTGCACGGGCGCCGCAGGCCGAGCGCCTGGAGGCCGAGAGGGCCGAGCTGGAGAAGAAGCGCCTGGCGGAGGAGGAGGCCATGCGCGTGGAGGCCGAGGAGGCGAGGATGCGCCAGGATCTGAGGGGCGCCTCGGAGGGGGGGACTCAGAGCCCCGAATCATCAGGGGTAACTCGGGTCAGGGATAACTCGGGTTCGTTTTTCGGGAATCCAAGCCCCGAGTTACCCCGGACCCGAGTTACCCGGATAACTCGGGCGTCCAGAGCCCCAAAATCATCAGGGGTAACTCGGGTCAGGGCTAACTCGGGTTCGTTTTTCGGGAATCCAAACCCGAGTTACCCCGGACCCGAGTTACCCCGGATCACTCGGGCGCCCAAGGGACGTGGCGCCCTGGAGGGCTTCAGTGGTAGACTGTGGCGGCTTCCTTTCCGGACGGAGGACACAGCAACGATCCCCTGTTATTGCCGCCCGTGCGCAACAGAGACGGCCGTGTCGCCCCGACTCGGGGCTGGGGACCCTCAAAGATCGATCTAGACAGATCGATCTAGTTCGACGAAGCTTTCGCAAAGACATGGTCGCGAGCCTTAAGCCGTGATTTTCTCACGGCGGCGTGATTTTGCACGATGCCGAGTGCTTTGTGAGCGGGTGTGTGTGTGTGTGTGTGTGTCCGCGGGCGCGCGAAGATAATCGCCCTTCGCGCGTCGCGGTCTGGGCCAGAGCGGCTGCCCTTTCCCAGGGGGGCCGCGCGATGGCGCGGGAGCGCGAAGATGACCGCTCGACGCGCATCGCGGTGCGCGGTGCGCGAAGTCAGGTGACCCACATGTATTTTGTCACGACGCTGGATGTCTAGGATGAGGGGGGGATGCCCGTTGCCATTCGCTCTGATTCACCTGCGCGGCTGCACGCATCCGCCGCGGCGCTTCGCGGGGTGGAGGGCTGAGTGGGGGGGGCGGGGGCAGGGGCGCGGAATCCGTCTTGGGCCTCCCAGATGGGGGTCCGAGCACATGGGTCCGAGTAGACGGGGTCGGAGGATCGCGCCGCATCGCCGATGCATCGCTGATGCGGCTCGATGTAGAGACTAAATTGAAGTCCATGTCGCCGATGCATCGCCGACCTCGCCGATGCGGCGCGATGCTCCGACCCCATTTACTCGGACCCCATCTAGGTGGCCTCGAATCCCGTTCCCGCGAATTCGTATCTTTCGGCCTGAACCTTTGCATAGGAACTTAGTGCGTTGGGGAGCCCTGGATGTTGTTCCGCATGATGCGTCACTTACGACATGATACTGTCCTTGGCCCAACATACACAGCAACCGCTGCAAGCTCGGCGGCGGATCTAGTTCTGCTGTTGCTCAACATGGGTACTACGTTCCTGTTTCCCCGCGGAGATGGCTGGGGATCACCGTTCCCCCTCCGCGTATTTGTTTTCACCGGATGGTGCCGAAAGTATGTTCCTCTCTGTACTTGTTTGCCACTCCGAACGATCTCTGTCCTTCCAACATGGGGTTCCTGCTGCAGCGCGGGCCTCAGTTTAGCATCGGGGCTCTGCATTAGTCATTCAGGATGGCGCTCTCGCCCCAGCGCGGACCACTTGTCTGGATCCGAGTCTTTCCTCATGGTTGTCGCCCCCCTCCTTTCCCCTCTCTGCCTTCCCCTGGTCCTTCTGCTCTACCCTCTCCTTCCAGTCCAGTTTCTGTTGCTGCTTCTCGTTCTCGTCCTCCTTCCTCATTCTCTTTGTTTTCCTGCTCATCCTCCTGCTCATCCGCCACCTCCTCTCATGCGCGAAACTAGCATTTTTCGATGACCCATGACGATGATTTTTTTGACAGCTCCAGGTCGGCTATGACACGCCACCGCGGACAGAGAAACAAACATTGCGCAATGGCAAGGGATGGGTGGGATGGGTAGGATGCCATATATGGCGCGAGCGCACCTAGCATGTCCTCATCTTCTTTCCCCTGTGAGTATGATGGCGAGCGTGGCCTTCTTGGTCCGTGGACTTGGCTCCCTTTACGGTGCCATTCCAGACCTTCGGTGACTCGACCTGTTCGAGTCGCCATCCCCCAGACCTCTGTTCCCCAGGAACGGCTTTTCAGCTCGAGCCGGTTGTGACCGTCCGGTGACCCGGACACGCCCCTCAAATGCCAAACGAATTTGGCGCGCTTTGGTCGAGTCGCCAGTGGTATGGATCTCTCCTCCCAGCAGGAGTTCGAGGCCGAGCTCAATCAGAACAAGGGTGTTTGGGAGATCCTTGAGACAAGTGCTGTGCAGGAGCTGGACGCGGAGGGTGAGGAGGAGTTGGCGGTGCGCAGCCCGAGGTCCGAGGGGGAGCTGGAGCATGCGCAGGAGAAGGGCGAGGCGAAGTACGAGGAGGGCGAGGGCGCTGTGAAGGAGGAGGTGAAGATGGAGGTGAAGGAGGAGCTGGAGGAGAAGAAGCCCGAGCCCGAGGGGGCCCTGCTCCAGCAGGTCCGGTGTGGGGTGGCATGGCCAAGCCAGGAGCGAGCCAGGGGCGGGCCCACTTCGGTCCCGATCGATCCGGTTCGATCAGATCCGATATCGATTCCATATCGAATTGGTTCCGTCCGGCCCGATCCGGTGCGGCCCGGTGCGGCGCGTGGGTGTTGTGCATCTCGGCGCGACCGATCCGATGTCCGACGCACACTCCGATCCGATCCAATTTCCAGATTCGGTACTGATTGATCCTGAGGGGGTGGCCTTCTGATCTCCTCCTCCTGATGCTACCTTCGTGTGTTTCGCTCGTTCGTCAGCGCTGGCGCCGCGGGGGTGCACGAGAATGCCCGACACACAACGCCAAACAGCTGGGCACGAGCAAGCCGCCCTGCGGGCGCGCGAGCGCGCTGGAGGACCAGGGCGGCGTCCGCCAGGCTTTGCCGACGGAGTCCGCCAGGCGGTGCAGTCTCACGCAGTCTTCCCCCCGTGTGCTCCTCGCAGGAAGGGGCAGTGTTAGGAATAGCCATGAGGGAATGGGGGTCTTGAGGAAAATTGGTCCTGGAGTGGTTTCTCCGTCTTCGCCCTCTCGGGGCCTTCCGGGGGCCCCGGGGATTGCTAAAGAGCGGCTCGGGATCAAAGACCTGCGATCCAGGACCCGTTTCCATCGGGACTTTTCCCTTCACACGAAGGGGAAACTCAGCCCCCTCGCTCGGGCAACCCAGCTACCAACGAACACCACACCTGCTGCGGGACAGAGCGGATGAAGGACAGGTGGTGGTGGGTTGGATTTGCCAGAGCATGGTAGCGAAGGCGAGGTGTGTTGTGTGCGTGCGTGCGTGCGTGCGTGCGTGCGTGTGTGTGTGTGTGTGTTTGTTTGATTGTGTGTTTGTTTGTTCGTTTTCTTTGTGTTGTGTTGTGTTGTGTTATGTGTGTGTTTGTTTGTTTGGTTGGTTGTTGTTGTTGATGATGATGTGTTGTTGTTGTTTTGTTGTTGTTGTGTTGTTGTTGTTGTTGTTGTTGTTATTGTTGTTGGTGCTGTTGTTGTTGTTGTTGTTGGTGTTGTTGTTGTTGTTGTTGGTGTTGTTGTTGTTGCTGCTGCTGTTGTTGTTGTTGTTGTTGTGGTTGTTGTTGTTGTTGTTGAACATTATTACTTCTAAAGAATAATCATTGTTGGGGCCCCTGGTGCACGACCCCCCCGCCGCGCCTAGGCCGCAGCCACATTTTCATTATTTTCGTGAGGAAGTCTCAGGCAAAACGGGTTGGTCCGGATCCGGTTGTTTTGTTACGGCCCGCTTTCCCTTGCAAAAAATAAGCTAAAGTGGACATTTCTTGTTCTAACATAACCAAACTTCAAGAATCCTTTGCAACAAATAAGGCAAAGTGGACATTCGCGCGCGCAAGACGAAATCCTTCCAAAACCTTAGTTTTCGTAGCGATTATAACATAAAAACATCCAAAAACCAATGGTTTTTTATAAGAAGAAATTAAAAATGTCAAAAGTTCATCCCGCGCGCTCTTGCGGATTCGTAGGGAACCCAACATGTTTTAAACATTTCTGTCAAACGGGCTTTTGCGAGCAACTTTTTCGAACTTCTGCAACAACGGTTGCGCACCTGCCAGGGCCATCATCCCTGTCAAATAATACCATGCGGGACACATTCGTTTTTTCTTCGCGCGCGCACGCCGTCGTCGTCGGCCGCGGGGCCCTGAATAGTAGCCACGGTCGTCCGCATGCCACGAAGTGAAGTGTCCGAACGTCATAGGGCGGGAAGCTGGGTGTGGGTGGTGGCGAAGAGTCGTTTGGAAATTTGGTAGAGCTTGAACCGGCCCCCCCACAAAGTGGGGGTATTGCCCGCCTCCTATGAAAACCCTGGCACTGGTGAGAACGGAGTGTCCCCACGTGCTAGTAATTGTTGTTGTTGTTGTTGTTGTTGTTGTTGTTGTTGTTGTTGTTGTTGTTGTTGTTGTTGTTGTTGTTGTGTGTGTGTGTGTGTCTGCGTGCAGGGGAGGGGGGGGGCAATGGCGCGCGAACCTCCAAGCGCCCCTGTATATACTGCCGACGAGCTTTGGCCTCCCGGCCCCCGTGCCTGCAGGCCGCGCCCCCGGCCGCCCACGAGGAGGAGGAGCGGCGGCGCGCGCGGGGAAGGGGGGGGGGGCCATGGGCCAGCGCTCCACCACTACCATGGGCAGGCCAGGGGAGAAGGGAGGGTTGGGGAGGTCCTCCTCCTCCTCGTCGTCCTCCTCCTCCTCTCCTGCATAGTGGTAGTGGTGGTGGAAAGTGGACCCATGAAAGGGGTGGGGGGGGTCGGCGCGGGGGCGGCCGCATTCCCAGAAGGCCAGCTGGGCGGGGGGGGGCGGGCCTGTCCGAGCAGGGGCGGGCAGAGGCACCCCCTCCCCCGGGCTTCTGTAGAAGCCTTCCTGGAGAAGTTTCTGCCCCCCCAGTCCCCCCAGGCCCCTGTTATTTCTATGTTCGGCCTTTGGGCTCGACTCTTCTTACAGGCGCCCAGGGCGTTTTCTTGTTGTCACAGCTCTGTGTATTGGGCTTTTGACCAGCTAGCGTCGGTTTAACAAACGCGACGTTTTTGTGTAGGGCTTGTAGCTTCGTTGGTTAAGCGTGTTTAGGCCCGCCGCCGTGGATCATCACTTGTTTTGCATTGTTGGCTTTTTGGCCGAAGGTTGTTCCTTGTTTTCCCTGCTGTCTTCGCTCCTGCTTGTTCAAAACGGAGCTACAAGCACAATCCATGGTTAGTTGCTCTGGCGTGTTTAGTGTTCTTGTTGGGACCTGGAAGCGCGAAACCATGATTTCTGACACGCCGCTTACAAACGGCAGAACAGTTTCACGCCCTGAGCATATTGAAGAAACGCCAAGCCTCTGGGGGCCTTACTGGGCCTTGGGACTGTCACCAAATCGACTCAGGAGGAAAAGCCGGTCCCGGGGAATGGGTCGAGGCCTTTGGGGGTCGACGTTCTGAAACAATCATGACGTCGGGGGTCTGGGCCCGCCTCGAGGCAGACCCCAGCTGCCCTCTCAAGGAAGGCCCCTCCTCCCGCGCACCCCGTGTAGGGCGTGGGTGGGCGAGCAGGTTCCGATACCGTTGCTCCCCGGGCCTCTCCCAAGGCGCGTCTTGCCCAGGGGTTCCAGGCGAATCCAGCCGTCGCGACGAGGGTTTTCTCAGGAGGCCCAAGACCCAAGACCGCCCACACGAGAGAAGGGAAGGGCACCGGCATCGGTACCTTCCCAAGGATACGATGTCTTTTTTTTCCAGGGCAGGGTCCCCAGATGTGTCGCCCCACTCCTGGGAACTGGTTTTCCATTCCGAGTCGTGCTTTGAAGGTCCCGGGCGCAGCGAGGGCCTCTCGAGGCCGACGACGGTGAAAAGCCTCCGTCCTGATGTTGTCAAGACGTTGAATCTCTGGGTATCGGTACAAACTCTCCTCCGAAGATTTCTATGCCTCCCAGATGGGGTCCGAGCACATGGGGTCGGAGCATCGCGCCGCATCGCCGATACTGCTCCGATGCGGCTCGATGTAGGGCCCGAGTTTCTCCACGCCGACGGCGCCGAAGCATCGCCGAGTTCGCCGCTGCATCGCCGAGGCATCGACGATGCATCGCCGCTACGTTGGCGATGCGGCGCGATCCTCCGACCCCATGCTCGGAGGGCACCACCCATACACCTCTACTACACGGATCCTGGCCAGGCCCATGCCAGGCCCAGGAAGGATGTAATATATACATATATATTCACACACACACATATATGAATATATATATATATATACATATATATATATATATATATATGCCTTCCTGCCCAGGGCAGGAAGGCGCATACACTGATCCTGGGCAGTGTGATCATGGCCAGGATCCGTGCGGTAGGTGTGTAGCTCGTGCCCTCCGAACCCGGGGGCCGGACCGGACCTCATGGGAGGCCTCTGGAGGCTGGCACGCAGGACGCCCCGACGGAGCCGGACGCGCGGGAGGCCGCGGCGGAGGAGCCGCGGCGGCGGCACTTCCTGAAGCCGAGGGCCAAGCGGCGCGCGGTGTGCGAGGAGCGGCCGGGGCCCGCGGCGGCCGAGGAGCGCCGGGCGGAGGCGCGCGGCCACACGGGGCTCGGTAATTATGGCGGCGAAAGTCGGGCGGCGAAGAACATCGGAGGAGGAAAGCTGTGCCCATACCGCTGCCCTTCCCTCGCCATTTTCTCCTTCTTGGGCCTCCTGGGAGGCCCTCCTCGCCACCGCCGGATTCGCCTCGAAAGTGCGGTCAGAAGGCACCCCAGGAGAGGTCCGGGGAGCAGCGGTATGGGTACCTCTTGGTTTCCCCAGGAGCTCAGTCCGCGGCGAGCGAGGGAGGGAAGTGAGGAAGGAGGAGGCCTTCTCTGAAGGCGGCGGGGCTTCTCAAACACCCTGGCGACATCTGATCAGTTTGTTTGTGCTTTCGGGGGAGATTTAGGATACTTTCCAAAAGTCCTGGGGGACTTCCGAGCCTTCCGAGAAAGCCCGCATCTTCTCACTTTCTCCCAGGCAGGCGCGCCGCTGAACAAGGGGTATGGTTACGCCAGGGTCTGGTTTGTGATCGGCATCGTTGGGGCCTGGGGCCACGACGATGTCGTCGTCAGGCCTCCATGGGGCGCGGCGGAGAGCCCCGTCGAGGTCCCGCCCGCCTCCCAGGGTAAAGGCCAGGGTGCCGTTTGCAAACCACACCCTCTGCAGATCACACCTTTCTGAGCTGCCGATCGGTACGATCGGTATGGGTGCGGAAAGAATGGTTACGAAGAACGACAGCAGTTCCTGTTCATTTTGGAAAGGACTCGCAGTCGGTGTCGCCGTGGACTTTGTTCATTTAGCCAGAAGGCCGCCTGCCCAACAGCTGCTGCTGAGGGTTGTGAACAGCATTAGTCGTTGGCCATCGCAACCCTTTTCTCCCTTTCGTCACAATCCAGGCCGCCCAGATGGGGTCCGAGTGCCCAGACCCAGACCCCCAAAGTCATGGAACACTGAAGGCGAGCCTTTGTTTCGTCTGCTTCTGTAAGTTTTTCGCCAGCGGGCACTGCAGCGGCTCACAAAAGACCGAACCAGGCCCATAATAGGTCCGCGAACACCCATCAAGGCGCATGAATCTCATATTATAGACGCTTCGCGTATCCCGACTAACATCCGTAGCCTTGGCTCAAACCGATCTGGCTCGAGCGGGCCTCAGCGGTTGGGCCGGGCCTCCGCCCCTTGGTACTCGGCCTCCCCGCCCGCGGGGGCGTGCGAGAGGTTCGCCCCCCTCCGCGCCCCCGCTCGCTCGGCCATGGTCTCGCGCTCGGCGCGGCGGCGGCGGCAGCGGCGCGCCCCGCGGCCTGCCCGGCCGGCCTGCTGCCGCCGCGGCCCGGCGTGGCCCCTGGCTGCCTCGGCGTGGCCGGCGCCGCCGCCGCCGCGGCCGCCGCCGCCGCAGCGGCCGCCGCGGCCGCCGGCGCTGTGGCGCGCGCTGCTGCTCTGCGGCCGCCGCGGGTGCGGCGGCTGCCGCCGTGGCCGCGCGGCCGCTGGTGCCGCCGCTCCCGCCGCCGGCCTCCCCGCCGCGGCCGCCTTCGGGGCCGGTGCGGCTGCGAGGGCTGGGCCGGCTGGCGGCGGTGGCCTGCCCGCCGATGCGCTCGCCGCGGCCGCCGCTGCCGCCGCCGCCGCCGCGGCCGCCTCGGGCGGGCCGCTGGCGGCGGCCGCCGCCGCTGGCTTCACTGGTCGGGAAGCTGGAGCCCAACATCATCACCTACGGCACTGTGAACAGCTGGTGCGAGAAGAGCAGGCGTTGGCAGTGGCAGCTGGCCGTGGCGCTGGTGAGCGAGATCCTGGTTGTGCAGCTGGAGCCCAACATCATCACGTACGGCACCGGGAACACCGCGTGCGAGATGAGCAGGCGTTGGCAGCGGCAACAGGATGTGGCGCTGCTAATCGAGACCCCCCTGGTCGTGAAGCTGAAGCCCATGTTCATCAACTTTGGCACGGTGAACAGCGCGTGCGAGAAGAGCAGGAGTCGGCAGTGGCAGCAGGCAGTGCCGCTGCTGGGCGAGATTGTGGCCGCGAAGCAAGAGCCCACCATCATCCCCAACGGCACTGTGAAGAGCGCGTGCGAGAAGAGCAGGAGTCGGCAGTGGCAGCAGGCAGTGCCGCTGCTGGGCGAGATTGTGGCCGCGAAGCAAGAGCCCACCATCATCCCCAACGGCACTGTGAAGAGCGCGTGCGAGAAGAGCAGGCGGCAGCAGTGGCAGGAGGTTGTGGCGCTGCTGGGCAAGATTGTGGCCGTGAAGCTGGAGCCCAACATCATCACCTACGTCACTGTGCACAGCGCGTGCGAGAAGATCAGTCGTCGGCAGTGGTTGCAGATCGTGGTGCTGCTGAGCGAGATGGCGGTCGTGCAGCTGGAGACTAACATCATCACCTAGTGCATCCTGAACAGCTGGTGCGAGAAGGGCGAGCGTTGGCAGCGTCAGCGGGCAATGGCGCTGCTGAGCGAGATGGTGGTTGTGCAGCTGGAGCCCAACATCATCACCTACAGCGCCCTGAACAGCGCGTGCGAGAAGAGCAGGCGTTGGCAGCGACAGCAAACAATGGCGCTGCTGAGCGGGATGGCGGTCGTGCAGCTGGAGCCCAGCATCATCCCCTGCAGCGCCCTGATCAGCGAGTGCGAGAAGAGCAGGCGTTGGCAGTGGCAGCAGGCAGTGGGGCTCCTGAGCGAGATGGCAGCAGCGAAGCTGGAGCCCAACATCATCACTTGGGGCACCCTGGCCAGCGCGTGCGAGAAGAGCAGGTGTTCGCTGCGGCCGCTGTCCTCGAGGACCAGTCCGCGGACGTCACAGCTGCTGCGCGCAACTTCGCCTTCGCGGGGTTGACGTCCAGCGACCCCGCGGCGGACATTGCGAACGGCCGCCTTGCCAGGTTGGCGATCCTCGGCATGTCCCTCCAGGACTGCCGGATTGGCTCCGCCCAGGGCGACGGGGCGCTGTGCACTGGGCCCCCGCTGCGCGCTTCAAGTTCGAGAGCGAGCTGGGCGTTCAGGGCCCTATCGGGCCTTTGCAGCAGGCTGCGCAGCGGATGGCTGCGCGGAGAATCCCGCTCACCAGTGGCAGGCAGAGCTGAAGAACGGCCGCGTGAGCGTGCTGGCGACCATGGGCTACATGACGCCTTACATCGCTGGCAGGCTGCCCAAGTCGCCTTCGGCTGACCTGGGGTCCGCGGACATCCCGCGCGGGCTCGTTGCGCCCCCGAAGGTTCCTGCCGCTGCCTGGGCGCAGATCGCGGCGCCTGGCGCTGACGCGAGAGATCTCGACACTCTCAACGACATTTCGGAACATAGCAGCAGCAGCAGCAGCAGCAGCAACATATCACCCCCCGCTTCGTTGACAGAAAACGTCCCAGTGGGGAATCGAGAGGCGGTTGATGCGGCGGTGGAGGTCGTCGTCCAGGAGGTTCAGGAGAGCTGCAGACACCGGCAGAGCAGCAGCAGCAGCAGCAACAGGGCTGCAGCAGCCGCAGCAGCCGCAGCAGCTGGGCAGCAGCAGCAGCAGCCGCAGCAGCAGGGCAGCAGCAACACCTGCAGCAACTGCCGCAGCGGCAGCAGCAGCAGCAACAGGACCTAGCAGCAGCTGCAGCAGCATCAGCAGGGCAGCAGCAGGGGCAACAGCACCCCGCAGGGCGGAGGAAATGAGGCAGAGGTCACGATACCACCCCCCGCAGACGATGACGCCCCAGTAAGGAATCGAGAGGCGGTGGCTTGCAGTGATCAGTGCGCAGCTCACACTAACCCACCCCCCTTCAGCAGTGCCAGCAGGGCAGAGGAAAGGAGTGGGAACTCACGGCGGAGACGGCGGAGGCCGCGGAAGCCGCGGAGTACCCCCCTCAGAACAATCAGTCCGTCAGCAGTCGCCTGGGAGCGCCACGCGCCCAGCAGGGAGACCGCGGAGCAACCGTCCAGACGCAGGGCAGCGAAACCATCCACTGGCTCGTCGGGAGAAACCCCTTCGCGCCTATTCGCCCCCCTCCCCTTGTCAGTGAGCTTCTTATGGACGGCGAACCCCGGGCGCCCTCGCTGGGCGTCCAGGGTCCAGGGCGCCGCTGGCAAAGCAGCTCGCGCCCCAGCTATGGAAGCTGCGCCGCCGAGCGCGCGCGCGCGCCTGGCGCAACCAGCGGCGCCCCAGAGACCAGAGAGAGTCCTGCGCTGAAGGAGGCGCGCCTGGGAGCGACGGCAGGCGCAGGCCCGAAGGCGAACGCCAGCGAAAGGGGCCCTTCCCCACGTGCCACAAGGCTGCGTCTGCCCTGGCCGCCGGGCGCGATCCGACCCCCGCCTGGCGGCCAACCGCGCGGCCTGCATTTCCCCGCGAAGCCCCGCCAGGCGTGCAGCCGGAGCTGTCGCGAGCAGATCGCGAGCCCTCCAGCCAGGACAACGAGGCCGGTACGTTGGAGAATTGCGGCCAGGATACACGGTGGCACCGAAGGCCCGGCCCGCGCCAATGGCCAGAGCCCAAGGACCCCGACACGGGATGTCAGCTGTACAAAACAGGAATCAACAACATCCAGTGGGACCTCTCCGGGGAGACACCCGGCGACGCGATAAGACGACTCCAAGTCACACTGGGGCCAATGTTGACTGGCACCTGGCACGCTTTCGCCAAGCGGCAGTCTGCGCCCGGCAGCGTGGGCGCGCTCCACCCGCTTCGGCACGACCCGCAAACCTGCCACCTCTTCCTGGAATCCGCCCGCAGCCACAAGTGCGACGCACGGGTCGTCAGCGACGCGCTGGGCCTCGACGTCGAATGGACTTGGCCGTGGCAGCTGCACCTGGGTCGGAGCGGCGGAGTGAGCAGTGATCATTACGCGGCAAAGGGCCACCCGAACAACCAGGCCCCCAAGAAGCGCAAAAAAACAGTGGTGGGCCGTCTCCCCACAGTAGCCTTGCTGCCCCCCTCGTGGCATCGCACACGCGGGGATCAGGTGCGTGGAGGGCGGTCACTGGCAGCAGGCCCGTCGCTGCCCTGCACGCAGCCTGCGGAAGGGATATTGTCTGTGTGCGACGTGTCTCGACTTCTGTTCCGTGCAGAAATTTTACTTCTTCATCTTGG